AGTCGGTTATCAGTATGGTCTTAGAATTTCCTGTTACCCATTGGAACTACACCCCCCTTTGAAAAGGAGCTAAGTCACTCAATGGTCTATAATTCATCCGAGCTAAATGCTCGTTAGAGACCAATTTACTCTTACGTACCTAAGCTTTACGCTGAAAACCTTAAACTTTCGGCCATGTGGATTTGGACCACATTTTTACGTTACTCATGTCAGCATTATCTAAATAACCACACCCTATCAAAGGGTCTTTGATTATTTGAACCACTACCGATAGAAGCAACCTACCCTCATTGGGAGTTGTTCTATCCTCTGGCTAAAGTAGGATATCTAGATCCGAAAATTAGCGACAATCACACTGGGGTAGCGGTTTAGAACCGCCACTCATCTTCCTTGGGTTGTTACCCACTCTAGTCAGGATAGCTGCTTCCAAGCTCACATTAGGAAGTTTCTCATACCAAGCCCCGCTAGGGGGGTTGGGTGGGAGGTCCAATTGGGCCTCCACCAGTTAATTGTCTTTTATTCACTTAACCGAAGATGATAAAATACCACCTTCTCCATTGGGGAACTTTAGCCTAGAGATAGAGTTGTTTCTCTCTTGACCATCGAGCTTAGCCTCAATGGCCTGACTTATCATTTAAACTATGCATGCCCCTTTATGGGGTCAGCCTCTGAACATTCCTAGATCAGGATTAAACCGGTGCTGTACGCCAGAGAGTCAAAATGGAATGATAAGACTACTACCATAGTTTTCGTGGTTAACCAGTTATCGCAAAGTTCGTTAGGAATTTATCCTCTTGTCATTCTTTATCCGAGAATATTGATACATTCACCGGTTCAGTCTATTACACTTAAAAATGACAGGCTCACCTTGTTTCGGGTCATATCTATTGGATTCTACTGTTTTCACTCGGTTGTTCACCTTACCCAATAAATATACTTGCTGCAGTTATCCGCTAGTTTCCTAGCGGGCTAGACTATACATTCAACTCATACAAATCTTAGACACGTAATCCAGGGACTAATCCCTGTTTTGCCCCTGTACAGGGTATATCATAATTTGCTGTAATATATGAGTGCTGGCGTGTTACCCAAACCATTTCAGATTCAAGTCGGCTTGTTTCCAAACCAGTCGTTACAGGGCTAATCTAAAGCTAGGAGCAGGCTCCAAGGCAGTGACGGTAGTCACAGCTATTACTACGATAGACAGCTTCCCACGGTATTCCCTTGAGCGCAAATGGCTTTTAGGGTTCACCGTTAGCAGAAACCCCTACAGGATCTCTACCGACCTTAAAGGTCATGAGCCAGTTCTACCCTCCCAAAGAAGGGTTTCGAATAACATCACTGTTATCCCGGGCAAGCTATTCACCCGTGATGCAAAAAGTAATTGATCACCTTAAATAAGGCTTTCAACCGTTGAACTATCTGTTTCAGGCTCTATTTCACTCCCTATTGGGTTCTTGATTCAACATTCCCTCTCGGTACTTTACGCTATCGCCAATCAGTTGAACTCAGCCTTGGCCTTTGCCACATTGACTTTCATTACCCTTGAGTGGATTGATATTCCTATGCTCGTAGGGTCGGCCTTTATCTTTTCGCTCTTCACTACTCAGAGAGTTATCTATTTCGATTTCCTTTAAACCAACTACTAAGATATTTCAATTCATTGGCTATACTGCTTGTGATTTATCATTCGGAATGGGTTTTACCCCTTTTGGACATTGCCTCCTTATCTTCCTAATTGGCTAGTCTTCCTCAAATAGTTCTTTTTCTGCTATCTCCCCCCATTACCTGTGATCCCTTCTACTCTTTAACTAGACCACTTACTTTAACCCTTATGACTTTCGCAATAGCTGCCACCCTGCAAGAGGCAAAAGGGGCCGTAACCTAAGGTGTAATTGGTCCTTGTGAGGGGCCGGATTCAAGTCTTGATGAGATTCTAAGAAAGATAAGTATTCAGGGATAGTTACCGCATGAACACCAATTGGCATAAACATAATAGAGCCATTTAAGGATAACCCAAAGAGGGGCCTTATGACATTTTGGACTTTATCTTCGCAGTTAACTGCGTACCTCATATAGTCTCGGGGCAGGCACAAAGTGGCCTGCTGCTGATTCACCTACCCCTATAGGGGCAGCTTTCCAGCATAGAAAGGTATTTAAGACATAGCCTTATGACCATGTAATAC